ACACATGAGAAAGAAAACTTTAAACCAATTGCATTGATGTTTGCAACGTGTTTGCTCAAAGAAGAAGGTGAGAAAGTGGCATTTTGTCACTTTTCTTAGAAAAAGTGATATTTTGTGACTTTTCTCCAAAACAGTCACCATTTATCATTAGACCAATTAATCGGATGCATACATTTGTTTTTTTGAAAGTTTGAATATTCCAATTCATACCTTGTTTTTTGATAATACATATGAAAAAGAAAACTTTGAATCGACTACATACATTTGCTTGGAAGATGTTTGATCATGAAGAGTGACATTCTGTCACCTTTCTAAAAAAAGTGACATTTGTTACATTTATACAAGAACAGTCACCCTTTATCATTCGAACAATTAACCGGATGCATACGTGTGCTTTTTTGAAAGTTTAAACATACCAATTCATGCCCTCTTATCTGAGAATACATATGAAAATGAAAATTTTGAATCAATTACATGGATGCACATGGAGAGGGTGACATTCTGTCACTTTTCTTAAAAAAAAAAAAAGTGACATTGTGTGACCTTTTTTCTCCAATTCAGTCACACTTTATCATTAGAGCAATTAACCGGATGTATACGTGTGCTTTTCTGAAAGTTTAAACATACCAATTCATACTCTATTTTCTGGTACTACATATGAAAAAAAAAACTTTGAATCCACTACATGGATGCATGTAATGTGTTTGCTCATGTAATCCACTATCACTTTTTTCCAAAAAAAAAGTGACATTGTGTCACTTTTCTCCGAAAAAGTGGCATTCTATCACTTTTCTCCGAAAAAAGTGGCATTCTGTCACTTTTTTCCAAAAATAGTCAAGCATTTTGGAATTATTAAGATACATATTCAAGCCCTGTTTTCTAGTAATAAACATGAAAAAGAAAACTTTGAATCAAGTACATTGATGCATGCATGGTGTTTGATGAATGAGAATGTGAAAAATTAACATGTTGTCACTTTTTTTAGAAAAAGTCACCGAATCACTTTTTGGCCAAATAACTAGATGCATATTACTTGGTCACTTAAAAAAAAAACAAAACTCACACAATCTCTTTGTAATATTTTTGTAGGTATGGATAAAATCAATGTCTTCATTTGTTATGGAGGCAAGTGGACATAAGCTAATGAGTACACAAGTGACAAAATGACTGGAATTGTTGTCCCGATGGATTGCACGTACAACCAACTTGAGTGCATGATATGTTCTGTGATGAAAGTAAGTGCATCAACTCAGAGAGTAAAAATACAATATAGAGTGAAGAAAAACCTGCCTTTAATGGAGATTTCAGATGATATTTCACTAACATTTTATTTGGAGTTGAAGAGAAAGGATAAAGATCTTGCAAGCTTTCCATTGTGCATAGATGTGACAACGGTATCAAAAAGTCACGAAACTGAATTTGTTAATAATATACGATGTTTGGAGGCTGTCAATTATGAAAAAAATGATATGCTATAATTGCAGTTTTGCGAAGCTGTAACTGATAATTCTGTGACATCAGCTCAAAAATTACCTAGTATGGAAGAAATTGCGATTGATGTATACAATAGTATGTCGGAAGTTGGAGAAACAACGAATGAAGGAGGAAGTGATATCATTTCAATGGTCACTATGGATGGAATTTCAAAAGATAAAGTGTTCAAGAACAAGACATTGGTTAAGAGAAGTATTTCGATATATGCGATACACAATAATTTTCAATTCAAGGTTAGTAAGTCGGACAAGAAAGAGTATGTGTTGAAATGTATTGATGATAAGTGTAAATGGACTTTTAGAGCTTCAAGACTTGGTGGAACCGATATGTTCAAGGTAAGGTATATAAAAAATGTCCATATATGCTCAAATAACATCATTTTGGGAGATCATTGTCAAGCAACCAGCTCAATAGTAGGAGAATTCATCATGTACAAGTATATCTCAACAAAAACAACATACACTCCTGCATACATTATAAGTGACATGATGAATACCTATGGAGTGTCAATGAGCTATGAGAAAGCTTGGAGATCTAAGGAGAAAGCATTGGAATTAGTGAGAGGAGATCCTACAGAGTCATATGAAAAGCTTCCAGAATACTTGTACATGATAGAACAAACAAATCCTGGATCATTTACAAAAATTGAGACATATCAGGACAACAAATTCAAGTACCTCTTCATGGCATTAGGAGCATCTATTCAAGAGTGGAAGTATTGTAGACCAGTTATAGTAATAGATGCTACATTCTTAAAAGGCAACTATGGCGGAACACTATTCACTACATGTACGCAAGATGCCAACAACAGTATCTTTATATTAACATTTGGAGTTGGTGATTTAGAAACCAATGATTCTTGGGAGTGGTTCTTAAGTATGTTAAAAGAAGCATATGGTGAGCGAGAAGGTTTGTGTATAAACGCAGATGGACATGCAAGCATAAAAAATACAATTCACAAAGTGTATGAGAATGCAATGCACGGATTATGTTCCTATTACTTACTAAAGAACTTGAAGTCTTCTTTTGGTGGGAAAAAAAGGGGAAAGAATATTGCAGAACATTTCAATAGGGCTGTAAGAGCATATTCTAAGACTGATTTTGAGTTCCATATGAAACAACTTGATGAAATCAATACAGGAATTCGATCACATTTGGTATATTCTCATTGTTAACTTCTATAATAATTGGTGTCACTTTTTGTTTAAAAAGTGACATTCTGTCACTTCTCGACCAAACGGTGACCGAACGTCACTTTTTTTGTTAATAGTGACATGATATGTCACATTTTGTTTGAAAAATTTATATGTGTTGATACTTTTTATTAAAAGTGATTTTAAATAAAAAGTGACATTCTGTGACTTTTCAACCAAAGAGTGACAGAATGCCACTTTTTTGTTAATAGTGACATGATGTCAATTTTTGTTTAAAAAGTTTGTATGTGTTGAAAGTGAGTCCAAAACATGATAGAAAGTCACTTTTTCTGTTAATATTTTGAATTTTCTTTGTGCAGAAAGATATTGGTTATGAGAAATGGTCGAGGGCTTACATGACAAACAACAGATTTTCTACAATGACTTCAAACATAGTTGAATCGGTAAATTCGGTAACAAAAGCAATGAAAGGTTGTCCAATAGAGCCTTTATTGGAATCGTTAAGATATTTGTTACAAGAATGGTTTGTGAAACATATAAATGATGTACGAGCAACCTTCACAATACTCGCCACCAAGCAAGAGAAAAAACTGGGAGAAAATTCTGTGGAGTCAAAGAAAATGAAGGTAAAAAGTTATAAACTTGCTGTTTTGTTATTGCACATCAAGATTTCTATTGTAACATGATTTGTATCCTCTATTCATATTGAATTTTCACTTTAAATCTTCCTTTCATATAAAATAGTGACAAATTTATTGATAGATTATTTTGTTATATTATGCACATAGGTATCAACTTCAAGTTCAATATTGTACCAAGTTAATAATAGTTGTGCCTCATATTTGGTGAACATGGAAGAAAGAACACGCACATGCAACTATTTTCAAGTGGACAAGATTCCATGTGCACATGCACTTGCGGTTATTGCAAAGATAAAGGAGGATTCATATTCATATTGTTCCGTATTTTATACAACAAATATGTATATTCAAACATATAGTGCATCAATTTTCCACTAGGAGATCATAATGAGTGGAATGTACCAGATGAGGTAAGAGCAAGAATAATCTTGGCTTCTAACCCAAAAAGAAAATCTGGACGACCTAAAGAAAAAAGAATACCATCAAAAGGAGAGAAAACTCAAAGCGCAAAATGTGGAAGATGTGGGAATTATGGTCACAATCGTAGATCATGTCAAAATCCGCCAAAGGTGAAAAAGAAACCACAAAAGAAAAGGAAGTTAGAAGATATATGAAACTAGATTATTTGATATTTTTTGTTTTGTTCGTTTTTCAATTCAAATATTCTAAGAATTGTAAAAATACTTTAAGCTAAATGTCGATTTTGAAATTTATTGTGTATGTGAATTTGTTAGAAAAAAGTGACAGTAGAAATTGATGGATTTTGTTAAAAAATTCTTTGTTGTAAGTATGTGCACGTGACAATGTATTCATACTCCATTGACATTGGATCCACATTTGGTTAATTGACAAGTGACATTATGTCACTTTTTGGACATACAAGAAACTATTGTCTTTAAAGCTATAGTCAGGCAACATATTGTTAAAAAGGTGACATTATTCCTTCCTCCATTAAAATTGTAAGTGTGTTCAAAATTCCACAAATAAAGCTGCTTTTGTTAAAAAAATAAGTGACATTGTTACAAAAAGTGACATTATGTCACTTTTCTGTCGAAAAAGTGACATTTGTGTTTAAGTTATTGTTAAAAAGGTGACATTATTTCTTGACATTGCAAGTGTGTTCAAAATTAGACAAATAATACTGCTTTTGTTAAAAAATAAGTGACATTATGTCACTTTGCTGTTGAAAAAAGTGACATTATGTCAGTTTTCTGTCTCCATTGACATTAAGTGTGTTCAAAATTCCACAAATAATGCTGCTTTTATTAAAACATAAGTGACACTGTTAAAAAAAGTGACGCAGTGTCACTTTTTTCCTGGTTACCAGCTCTGAGTGAGGCGCTCCTTCGCTCGTGCCCCCCACCCGGGAGTCACGAGCTTAATTGCTGGAGTCACAAGCTTAATTGCTTTTCTTTAGAGCTTAGTACAAGTTCTCTCAAAAATAAATCTAACACAAACTTAAGATCTAACAAATCTTCAAGCAAAAGCAAGAGATCCATAACGGTAAAAAAGTGACGCAGTGTCACTTTTCTGTTGAAAAAGTGACATTATGTCACTTTTTTGACATACAAGAACTATTGTGTTTAAAGAATAATAGAAGCTACATCACCAATCCCTGCTCCGTTGATGTTGTAAAAGAATTGGTCATTAACAATTGAAGTTGTCTACCACCATTAACATTGCGACTTTTCCCTAAATCAGTTACTATATACAAAGCATCAAAACTAAACTACCAGCCAAATCAAATCAGTCATTACAAATGAAGGCACGTCATTACCAAAACAAGACATGTTTCTTCACTTCCTCAAAATCACCTACTTCTCTATCACATCAGGATCACCTACTTCTCTATCACATCAGGATATAGCTACTCCATTTCCTTTGACACCCATTCATTGTCTGTATCATATTCCTCTTCTTGCTTCTTCTTTCCATAAGCATATAGTTGAGCTGCCAAATTTCTTCTAAGATGTGGAACATTAAAAGACTTTGGCATCTCATTTAGCATTCCATTAATGAAGTACTGGGCATACTTAATTACATAGATTCCACAATCTCCACTGCATGAAATAATGAAAAGTACTTTAGATAATTACATACTAGAATGTCAGATGAAAAAAAAAAAATCTTCAAAAATAAACTTACCCATTATTTTGTTGTGGAAGTTTTGGAACCATTTTTACAACTAATGGTTTCAAAGCTTCTTCTTCTGAAATGCCCTTTCCCTCAAAGAAGCCAATATGAAAGAGAAGATGAGGAAAAATATCAGAAAATGGTTTAATAGCCTCAAGTACTAATGCCTTTCTCACAACCTTGTTGTACGAATTATATACATTAAGACACATATGTTGAATGTCAAAATGACACAAAATCCAATGAGCTGAATTGGACATTCTAATTGGAATAAGCACATGGTCAACAAGGTTCCAATTTGTGTTGCACGGCATATACAACCCAATAACATATGATAGAAGAGAAGTCTGCTTTTTTAGAGCTGACTTATCTTGGCAAAAGTCGGCGTAAAGACCTCTCATTTGGCTATCAAACGGGAAATCTGTGGTTGTAGCCTTTATGTTTATCCCTTCTCCATATCTTAACAACTTTCTTAAATAATAGAAACACACATCAATATGCTACAAAAAAAGAGAAAAATGACAAAATCAACAATAGTAAGAAACAAAATAATCTTAAAAACACAAACATATAAAATAACTTACTGTATCTTCCAAACATTCGTTTGGAATAAACAACTCATACCACCATTGTTTTGTAGAGATTGCAATGTCACAAAAATAAAAGCATGGATTGATAACGGAATTTTCATCATTGAAATGTTTTTTCCTACATAACAAAATGGAAAAAGTCACATGAAAGTTACTGTACTGGAAAAAATTCACAAACAACATATATTAGTAACAACTTACTTATTTTTCTTTACCAATCCCTTGTTAAACCAAAGTTCAAAAGCATCAACATCATGTGCCATTGGAGGGCCAACACCAACCGGGAATGCAAAAGTACCTTTAACAACACGTTTCTTAGTCCCCGATGTAGAATCAAATTCATTGACCCAGGGAGACTGAAGAAGCACTCCGGGTTTCTTTTGTCTTTTCAGATGCATGTCTGGGGTCTCAGCTTCAATATCAATGATTCGAGCATTTCCCTCTTCAATTTCAGTTTCAGCTTCAATTGCAGCCATTACTTCCACAACTTTCTCCCAAACATCATCCTTCAGTTCAACCTCCTCCAAAAAATCAATTCTGCCTTCATTACATGGTGATACAACATCCTGGGACATGAACAATAACACATTCAAATTATATTAATGTAAAAATATGCACAAGTTATGACGAAAAAGTTGATAGAATAAAAACACAAGTACTTCTTGATTTTTTGCTAAACTACGAGCAACAATATCATCAACTTTTAACCAATCATCTTCATGAAATTCTATTTCTTCATTCAAATTCATCTCGACCGCCTTATCACTTTTTACCACTGCCCTGAGACTTTTTTCCACTGCTTTGTCACTTTTTTCAACTGACTTGTCACTTTTTCTGACAGGCACCTCTACATCTTTTTCCCCACAACTCAATTCAAACTCAATACCTAAAGAAAAACTAGGGAAGTCATTATACACCTGGTCTGTTTCATCAGGTAAACTCTCCACACCATCCTACAAAAAAAGTCACTTGCTGAAAAGAATGTAAAATAATAAGAACCTTTGAAAAAACTTCGAGCATGGTGAACAGAAAATAATAAAAAGAAAAAATACCCACAAACCTCAATAATCTTCCCTTTGTTTTTCTTTTCTGTAGACCTTCCAGTTCGGTCAACAGATTTTGTTTTTCCTTCATCTATGAACTTTTTCAGGCCAACAATAGGATGCTCAAAATTATCATCATCCTGGTCACCACCCAAACCTTCAACAAATAAACCAACCACATACTCTTCTCCCTTCTCAGCCTCCAGAGGCACAATTTGATTCACATCCAACTGAAAAATAAATAATCATATCAATAACAGCAAAAGATAAACTAAAGACATAATATAAACAATAAAAGGGTAAAAAACTTACTTTAATCAAATCAAAAATGGTCTTCCTTAACCCCACAGATGTCACATGTTGATTGCTACTCCAACTCAACATCCGAGGATGCTGAGATTCATGCTTCATGCAGTAATTTTTCCGAGCAATAGCAGGAATTGTTTCATAAATCCATACTTGAAACGAAACTAGGAAGCCATTCAATCTATACTCCAAAAACTTCTTTTCCATAAAAATATTCTTCATTTTCTGATTAAATGCACTCTTTAGGGATGATAAAGTCATACTAAAAATTTCTATACCCCATAGAAAAGAATTCAAATCTTCAGACTCCACAAGGCAAAAAAATGAGTCATCAACTCCATTATGATAGGATGTACCAAATAGAAAGGATGTAATCAAATAAACTATGCCTATATCCACAACATCTTTATCTACGGTGTCAGTAGGCAAATTTAAAAACACTTCTTGAACCTCTTTTGTTGTGACACTTTCGTGATCTTTAAAATATTGTTCTTTTAAACAACTCTTCATTCTATATCGAGTTAGATCACCATTTCCAGTACACTTAAGCCTTGATATCAAACAAAACTCTTTGATTGAAAATCTTACCAATTCATCAAAGATATTAAACCACATTTCATTTGAATTTGGCTGCTTAACTTGTCTGAGCAGCAACTGGTGTATCAACTGTGGTTGTAAAATTATTTCCTTCAAATCAATGAAGGCACCAAAGCATGTATTTTTGAATAAAGTCCTTTGATATGGACTAAGTTTTTCATTCAAGTCTGTTATCACCTCGTGTGGAGATAACAACGTCACTTTTCCTTTGAACCAACAGGATTGAGGGATTAATAAATCCCAATCCTACAAAAAGAAAAAAGAAATAGTTAAAATAAAATTCAAGAAGAAGTACGTGCATTATGAAAGTCCAAAAGTGACACAAACTGTAAAAAAGGTGACACAAAACCAAAAAAAGTGACAAAACCATCACAACGATGCTTCCTCATCAAAACACAACCAAAAAAAGTTGTAATTTATTTTATTTTGTAGTTGGTATTGCTTCATATGGATGTCAGTAAATGAGTACTCTAACTTGAGCTTTTGACAAGCTAATTCAACCTTTATGGAAAGTGGTCATTGTATCAATTTTATGACTATTATCATTATACTTAAAACAAAGTTTTGGAAATTAATAGGACAGCAGTAAGAAAATTTTGAAGTTTACATATGATAGATAACTCAAGTGCAATGGATGGGCAAATTTGTTCATTGGAAAATCATATAAACAAAGGCACAACCACCATGCATACAAACACATCCACATATTTTTTTTCGTGCATTCTGAAGCCACCATGTAAGACCAACTAGAAACTATGAAAACCAAAGTAGCATTATAGCAGCAAAAAAATGTAAATCAGTAAAATTTACTAAAATCATTGCTAAAGATACACAATCTTCATTCACTGCACAAAATGTACAAAAACCATTGAGAAACACACAAAATTCGTAATGAACAAGAGAATGTACGCAATATAAGTCAATAAAACATAAAAAAAAATGTTGCTACCTTCGGTTTATAAGAAGATGAGGAAATTTTGGTCCTCTTCTTTAAGGATGGTTCTTCGAGATTTCTTTGCCTCTTCGATCCACTTTTTTCAGCCATTGCAAAAATACGAGTTAATTGTTGGAATCGAAATTAGATTTTCGATCTAGGGTTTAGGCTATTTGGGATTTATGGTCAAAATGATAACGAGACAAGAAATAAAACGATTACGAAGGGAAAACGAAGAAGAAATTGAGGGAAAATGGGTCGAAAATGGAGATTTACAGTCGTATGTTGCTGGACGATTTCCACAATGATAACGAGACAAGGAACAAAACGATTACGAAGGGAAAATGAAGAAGAAATTGAGGGAAAATGGGTTGAGAATGGATATTTACAGTCGACGATTACGAAGGGAAAACGAAGAAGAAATTGATGGAAAATATTTTGATTAGGGCTTGCCGTAGAATTTCGTTTAGATTTCGTTTTGATTTTACCAATTTAGGACGTAAATAATACTTCTTTAGAATATTTTAATAATTTAAAAGGTATTAATCAAAACATTTTAAAAAAGGGAGTACAGGGCCTAATTTCCTCAACTGATTAAGCATACATAAAATACAAACCGAACCCTATCTCTAGTGCCTCCCGCTGCGCAGCCCGACGCCGAGTGAGTTGTGAGTGTTGTGACCTGTTGCCGGCTGCCATCGAGTCACCGATGTCGACCTCAGCCCTCCAACATTGCCCGAATTTTCTGTGTGAGCCCCTCTCTCTCTCTCTATCGTTCTTGTAGTTCATGATTACGATGGATATGTGAATAATTAAAATTTAAGAGGCTGGGATTATGGGGAGAAGCATAATTTGATTTAAGGTAATTTCTATGGGTTTATGTGTTTTCCTCAATTTGATTTCTTTACTCGGACTTCAGAAGTTTTAACGGAATGTGCATGATTTTTAGTGGTGCTTGAGTGTATGGGTTTTGAATCTTCTGCTGAAGTTAGAGCTGGAAGCTCTGATTTGTTTGCTTTTGTTCTATTTGTTGTTTAGAAATCTAAATGATTTTAAGGCTCGTTGAAGGGAAAAGCTTTTGATCGGTGATGTGTTTATGCATGCTTACTCTAATTTGTTATGTTCTAGTGGAGTTGAACCAAGAATAAATGATAGTATTCTGAAATGAAAATTATGGAAATGACTATAGCTGGGGTGATTTTAATATGCTCTTCAATATCTTATTTGCATATGAATGCAATTTTTTTTTTAGCTCACGGATCAAGGTTGTATCATGTATTTTTTTTTTTTTTTTATAATATCAGGTTGTATTGGATTATATTTTCATATATATATATATATATATATATATATATGTGTGATATATATGATTTTACGTTTTATTATATTTATATATTGATTGAAGAATTTTTAATATTGTTGAATTAAGTATTAATAAATGATGTCGCTATTGCTGTTGTTGACGGTAGACAGTCAGAGACTAAACTATCGCACTAGCTCACCTCAATTTCTGGATTTGCCATTGCCATTATTGCCGGTGGTAGTCTTTTACATTTCCGAACAATTTGTAGTTCATGGTCTCTCAACTTGTCAGGGCACTCCATTGATCCAAGTGCCTTCCTTTGGAGTAAAATTCTACTTTCTTCAGGAGTTAGAAATCGCAACTTATGGGGATCAGTGTTAGGGTTGGCATACTTAGCCACTTTCTCAATACGAGTAGTTAGTAAAATTCTACTCTTCTTTTCATTGTCGGGAAGGGCAATTTTTGAATTATCCCAAGTGTTATTAGACCACACGTCATGGATGACAATAAAATATTTTCCTTTCTCCAAAAAAGTTCGTCAGCTAATTTGATTTCATTCATGTTATATTTACTAGGCTTAGTGAATTGTTTTAGTCTCTTAGAATATCTTGAAGCACTTCATTTTTATTATAATATAATTTTGAGAAACGAAAACTCATACACGATTGTAGAATTCAAACTCAATAACAGGATCGATATATATCATTTTAGCTAGTGTTGTCTTACCAAGTTGTAGTTCCTTAGGTCCTTCAGTGAGAAGTTTTGTTACTTTTTCGGCCTCATCTTCAAAGCCCACCACGTTGTCTTCCACAATGGGAGCTTTTAATAAATTTAGCAATAATTAGTGTGGTGAAATTATATATGAGCAATAATCGTTATAATAGTACTGATATTAAATGGAGACGTAATGACATTCAAGATAGTAATAAACTTAATTTACATGTGCAGAGCTAGAAAGATTTGTTAGGGTGGGTTGAAGACAACTAAGTTTGTTACTATCTTGAATGTCATTTAGTCTCTATTTAATATCAGTATTATTATAACGATTATTGCTTATATATATTAAAGGCTCCAATTTCACCTCACTGATTATTGCTCACTATATTAAAGGTTCCCATTGTGAAAGACAATGTTATGGGCTTTGAAGATTAGGCCGAAAAAGCAATCAAACTTCTCACTAAAGGACCCAAGTAACTACAAGTTATATCAATCATAGGTATGGCAGGACTTGGTAAGACAATGCTGGCTAAAATGATATATACTGATGTTGAGTTTGAATTTTACAATTACCCATGGGTTTTTGTTTCTCAAAATTATATTGAAAAGGAAGTGTTTCAGGATATTCTAAGACAATTTAATAAACCTAGTAAATCTAACATGAATGAAGTTGAATTAGCCGATGAACTTTGTAAATTTTTGGAGAAAGGAAAATATTTAATCGTCATGAATGATGTATGGTCTAACAAGGCTTGGGATGATTTAAAAATTGCCTTTCCTGACAACGAGAAGAAAAGTAGAATTTTACTTACTATTCGTATTGAGAAAGTGGCTAAGTATGCCAACCCTAACATCGATCCCCATAAGTTGCGATTTCCCCAAGTGTACTAGATCTAGTTTGTTTGACAGTCTGGGAAAATTGGATTACCTTGAAAATTTGAAGCTATGGAATGATGTATTTCCTCAACTACCTTATGAAGGAAAAATACGGAGCCTTCCACAAAGCAACAAATTTCCATCCAAGCTTAAGAAGCTAACAATAGTAGAGACCATGCTTGATTGGAAGCATATGTCTACTTTGGGACTGTTGAAAGGCCTTGAGATCCTGAAGTTAAAAGACAATGCATTCACTGGAGACTTGTGGAAGTCCCAGGATGGAGGTTTCCGTTCTCTGGTAGTCTTGCATATTGGAAGGACAGATTTAGTTTTTGGGAAGGCTTCTGCTCTCCATTTCCCATCACGGAAGTGCCTTCATCTTAATCACTGCAGTAAGCTTAATGTAGTCCCATTCGAACCGGCTAATGTTCCAAGCTTCCAGATATTGGACTTGAACTGTACCACCAGAGCAGCAGCTAAGTCTGCAAAGAAAATTTCGGAGCATAAAAAGCAGCCTGGTGGTAGTGGATTTAAGCTTTCCATTTACCCTCCAGATCATGATCAACGATCTCCATTTTTTCAAAGCTCAAAAATGGTACTTCACTGGTTATACATTTTAATCTTTGTTCCCTTCACTTGATATTTCTTTTCCTGTTGAAAACTTAAGGAACGTATCCAAGTAAACATGTTTGCTTCTATCTTATATAATACTAAAGAATTATGAAAATTATTTCTAGTGTAATGGTGTAAAAATTCGATGATCTGATCAACTAATGGATTTGTATTTTGTGCAGGCATATAATCAGATGAACAATGATGTCATGAGTGTTGAATAAAGGAAGTTTAGATGCATGGAGCCAATGTTTCTCTTCCCTGTGTTTTTACATTTCGTTCAATAAAAGGTTGCACTTCATTTAAGCGTAGGTTGAACTTCAGAATTCAGTTTGTTGTACTGCTGTCTACATTTTACCTTGCTTCAGTTTTTGACTATGGAATTACTGCTGCTTTCATTTACCTACTTATAATCTTCTTATTGGTCAAGTTGTCAATTTTGAAGAGGTAAATAGAAACTGCATGGTCTTGCGCTCTTTAGCCGCTTACTTTATTGCACCTAATGTAATTTGCCTTAGGTTGATGAGCAAGTACATAAAAGTAAATTTAATTTACTTTTATGTAAGATTGTAATCTCCTACATATCTGGATATGCAACTTTTCCTCCTTATAAGAGACATATAAAACCCATGTTTGGTAATATTTATAAAATGTTTATAATCGGTAAATCACTTTTTATTCACACATTCATGAGAGAGACCGGTTGTAATTTTTTCAAGATCTCAGAAATTAGAAGCTCATGGAAGGAGAGACAGATTGTGAACTTTGGTATAGTTGCAATATAACTCCAAATCCTTCGTGGTCTTTAAATTGTGTATTCAGGTTTTTCCATCGTATACATAATTGTGTTAAATGCGTTGCCAAATATATTCCTTTCTGTTGGCTAAGATTATAGTGTTGAATAAAGCTACACTGGTTTCTCGCAAATGAAATTAGGGGAAATTTTATAATTCACATATTTGACGTGTATGAAAGTAATATGAAAACAAGGGAAATCTCTTCAGCAGCAGAAAACGGGGGAAACAGAGGAAATAAACGAGAGAAATGAGAGCAATAGGAGTTTTTCTTAGGGGAAACAGAGGAAATAAACGAAAGAAATGAGAGCAATAGGAGTTTTTCTTTCTTCACAAGATTTCTTACACGATTCTCATTATACGATTAGGATATATTTTTGCTACTTATACGAACTTTAAAACATACTACAAATTACATTTTTAGCCCTCATTCATTTTATAAATTTCATTGACTTTTCTATTAAAAACACATCATATATTGACATTCTCCCCCTTAATGTGTTTTTCTTGTAGTCCAAGTGCTTCTCTTAATTGTTGAAATCTCTAAGATGGGAGTGCCTTTGTGAAGATATCAGAAATTTGCTCTTCCGACTCGCAATCGATGAGTTCAACTTCTCTATCTTCAATTGCATCTCTCATGAAGTGGAACTTGATTGAAATATGTCTGGCCCGACTATGAAAACATGGATTTTTTGACATAACAATAACTGATCTGTTGTCACAAAATAATGGTATGGCTTCTCCTTTCTCCAAGGTCATCTAAAAATTCTTCTTAGCCAAATGACTTGTGAGGTCACAATCGAAGTTGACATATATTCAGCATCAGTTGGGGATTGAGCAACTGTTTGTTGCTTTGTGGATATCCATGAAAATACTCCCGAACCAAGTGAAAATGCATAACCGGAGGTGCTCTTCATATCATCAACACAACCTCCCCATTCACTATCACAAAAACATTTTAGCTTCACTTCTAAACACATCTCAAATCTGATCCCAAAATTTATAGTCCCCATTTTATATCCCAAAACTCTTTTTCCAACACCAAAATGCTCATGTGTTAGACTATTCATGAACCTTGAAATTAAACTTGTGGCATACATAAGATCTGGTCTTGTAGCGGTAAAATAAAACAAGTTTTCAATCAAGCTTCAATAAACAGTTTCATCTAGTTTCTTTTCTCCATCATCCTTCATCAATTTCTCATTGCAAACAAGTGAATTTTCAATACTTTTACATCCGAACATTCTGAAAATTTTTAAGAACTTTTTGAGCATACTTCATTTGAGAAATAAACATCAATTTCCATCTTGATATATTTCCATACCAAGAAAATAATTTATCAGCTCCAAATCATTCAATTCATATCTTTTCATCATGTCAACTTTAAATTCTTCAATTATTTTTGTAGTGTTTCCAGTAAACACAAAATCATCAACATATAATGCAATGATAAGTATATTGATGTTATCTCGATGTTTAACGTACAAGGTTCACTCACTTTTACTTTTGAGAAATTCATGTTGCTGAAAATAGCTATCGATTTTACTAGACCACCCCCTCTTGTTTGAGCCCGTACAATCTTTTTTTAGGTTATACAATTTGTCTTCTTCTCCCTTCGCAACAAAACCTTAATGTTGTTCAACATACACATCTTATTTTAGTTCTCCATGTCGAAATGTTGATTTAACATCAAGTTCGTACAATAACCAACATTGTGGGGCTTCAAGAACTATAATTGCTTTTATGCTGTCTAGGAGAGCAACCAGTGGTGCAAAAGTTTCATTATAGTCGCTCGTAGGCTATTGTACATACCCTTTCACCACTAGTCTTGCTTTATTTCTCTTGAACGGTTCATTCAAATTGTACTTCAACTTGTAACACCTATCACATCTTTCCTTTTTGGCTTTTCCTAACTCCCAATTTTATTTTTCTCAAGAGCTCCTATATCTTCCTCCATTACTAGTTTCCAACACCATTCCTTTGTGGCTTCTTCAAAATTTTTAGATTCAGCCATACAAAATTTGCATCTTACATAAACATCATTCAAATCTTGCATTTATCTTAGAGTTGAACTTGGTGATGTTGAACTATAACTAGCTAGACGAATCTGATGGACTGCTTGGTGATGAGCTTGGTTGACTTGCATTTTCTTCATTTTCCACATTATCATCAGCTGAATTTTGAGGTAAAATTATTGGGACAGCAACATATCTTACAACTTCTCCATTTTCCTAATCCCATGTAGCATTTTCATTAGACAACAGATTACGGCTAGCAATCACTCTCTTATTCTTCAAGTTGTATAGTTTGTAGACCTTAGATTGTGAGCTATAGCTAATGAAAATACATTTGTCACTTGCCTCATCAAGCTTGAGTCGCTTCTCTTTGGAACTTGTGCATAACAAATACAACCAAACACTTTCAAATGCTTCACCAATGGTTTTCTTCCATTCCAGGTTTTTATAGGTCTTTTGTTACACATGGCCTTTGTTGGATATCTATTTAATAAATAAATAGATGTATAAACAGCTTCAACCCGGAAAACTTTTGGAAAGGTTTTTTTCTCATGTAACATAGCTTTTGCCTTCTCCATTACGGATTGATTTTTTCTCTCCGATATCCCATTTTGTTATGGAATATATCCAACTATTAACTGCCAGTCAATACCTTTATCTTGACAAAAATTATCAAATTCTTTTGAAGTATACTCCTTACCATTATCACTTCTCAAAACCTTTATGAAATACCCATTTTGATTCTCAACAAAAATCTTTAATTTTTTAAAGTTCGTAAAAACTTTAGATTTTTGTCACATGAAATAAAGCCAAGTCATTCTTGTAAAATCATCAATAAAGACAATAAAGAACCTATTTTGGGAGTGAGATGATGTACAAATCGATCCACATACATCCATATGTACCAATTCAAGTGGCCTTTTTTTGTCCTCCAAGTACACATTCTTCACAAATTTCAGATTTTTATTCAATCTTTGGGAGTCCCTGCACCATATTTTTCTGCTGTAATAATTTCAGCTCTTCAAAGTCCAAGTGACCAAGTCTTTTCAGCCATAACCATGAATCATTAGCCCCCATTAATTCGAAACGCTTTGTCAATCAAATGTTTGAAGATTAAAGAAAAACTTTTATTCTTAATTTTCAGCTTTGGTATGAGCAAATTCCAAGCTCAATAACACAAATATCATCTTCAAAATGTGGAGAATAATCATTCTCTAGAAGCTGTCCAAAACTTAGTAAATTTTGATCTAAATCCGGCACATGCATGACAACCCAAATAATTCTTGAATCCTTCTTCGTTTCAACTTCAATTACTCATTTTCCTTTCACTTTTACTAAATCTCCATTTCCCAATCTTGCTTTTGAATTTGTATTCTCCATGTCAATGAAAATATTTCAGTTTGAGGTCATATAATTGGTGCATTCACTATCCAAAAGCCATTGAGTTTCTTGATACTTGGAGCAATTTGAACTTTTAGAAGCATGAATCAATTTTATTTTATTTTTTGGTTATTGTGCTTTCAAAGAACCATAGGATAAGCTTGATTCACTCTCATTCTCGACTGCTCATTAGCTTATTGGGTGCTTTATGCTCTATAATCTTTTTTTCAAATGCACAAACTTCTTACAATTACGATATTGTGGCTTACCTTTGAACAGGCAATCAGTTTCATCATGGTTGCTTCTCTTACAAATTTTACACTTTCGTGATGAATCTCCTTCATTAAAACTCCTTTTCAAGTTGTTGCTAGTAATTTGTGCTCCATTAAATAAAAGAGAAATTTACAAAGTTTATAATAGTAGTGTGTGTTAATTAGTACACTATATAAACTCTAGTGACCATTTTGATAAATATTGTATTGAACTAACAGTAAATAGCTCTTACATTTTATTGTCTGGCATGTCCAGTTTGACTATTACTGGATCAGTAATGTTGTGAAAGAATAATTTAAATGGACATTCAGCAAAGAATTAGAGTATTTTTAAATTGAATAAATTCATAAATGGTATTTGTTTTCTCTATTATTGGTCATTAACCATCATTAGCTAAATAGAGACTAAAATCTCTATATTTTTGAAAATTAATTAGAGTGATATATGGGCCCTGTCACCATCCTCGTTGACCTTCTAAGTATTATTTGTATCTAATAAATTTGATACATATACTAGATTATTGCATGGTGTTCGTAACCTAATGTTTGTGAAATTATTGCTCAAATTTTAAATAATGAGCATAATTTTCAGATTATACAATCAAAAAGATATGTCTTGTTAATGCTACCGATCCTAAATGTCAACATTTTAATAAATATTAGTTGAAATGTTGATAAAGGGTTTAACACTATTGCTTGATAAACGGCTTCAATTAATTTATTTGAAAGCAGAATAATTTCCATTTTTTAGGGAATATTATTATGCATTATGCCAACATCATAATTCTCCTTATTATAATTGAATTATGTTTAGAACCTAATTTTTTTATCCAATTATTTCGATGTTGCAGTATATAAAAAATTGATCCACTGCAATACACTGAGATAGAAAATAAAAAATATTGAGAATATATGCATAGTTTTAACCTTTTATCCTAAGTAGGTTATATTTTATAACACAATACATTGATTGTCAATTTGATTGGACAATTCTCTCAACATTAGAGGAAGATATTAAGAAATTGTAAATAGTGTACAAATGCAACATTATCCTCACAAAGAAAATTCGAACTAGAAGTTAGAAATGTAATTCTTTTAAATGCATTATTGACCAAAGAAATCAAAAACGTCTTATGCACCAGCTTTAAATGCTCCAACATGAATTGAAATCCTAGAAAAATAATTCATTAAAATTATATTTGATATATCTAGGCACGCCAAAAGAGTGATGATATTCAAATATATAAATAAGGAACTTCCAAATGAAAATGAAGCAATTAGCCAAGATGGTCCCATTAAGAAGACATATTCTTTATGAGTATTTAGACATAACAAATTATAAAACCCTAGAAGAGGCTCTAGCAACAAATATATTAAAAATTGAGATACCTCAATAAATTATGTCAATATAAAGAAAGAAATAGAATCAAAAAGAAAAAAATTGTCGACAACACTTTTACACATAATATACAACAACTTATTATGAATAGTGAGAAACCAAAATAAAATGATAGTATTATTTTACAATTGAATTTACTAAAGAAACCAGAAGTTTTTGGACACAATCATAGTAAAATTGAACTTACTAAAGAAACATAAGATTTCTGAATCTACAATCTGAACACCTAAAAGGGTATACTTACACAAAATAAAAATGAAAAAAAATAAAATAAAATCGTGATATAAAATGTATGACTTTTTACATAATGAATTTTACGAAGACTTGTATAAATACATAAATTATCATGTGATGAATGTAATAACAAATCTCTACCTTATTAGCATAACAATGCACGAAATTTGATATGTATATAACAAATGTAATTATAGTCAACTTATCTTATATAAATTTAATATTATCCTTGAAGGATTTAATAAGGCTAAAACATAATTTAAGTAATATTATCATGACAGAGAGTAAATACGCGTTGTACTCTTTTTCCCTTGACTAAGGGTGTCTATTCAATTTTTCTACAAGGTTTTAACGAGAAAACTTTTGTAGCATACTTGAAAGAATAAATGTATTTTTTTCCCTTTATTGAGATGTTTCCCATAGTATATTTCTAAATAAGCTTTTGACGAGGCATAATCTGTAATGAATGTCCATAACATACAAGACATTTACCCTCAAAATAATATTCTAATAAATGTGAGACTCTTGAAGAGATCAACAAAAGCCTTTTTTTAATCATTATGTTACTACAGTTATCATATTTCGTCTCGCTGGATTTTCTTGAAGACATTGGCGTATTAGATATCAATAATGAAGACATTAACATACAAGATATAAATTGTTTGATCCAAGAATTGAAATCAGGGAAGTAGCTCTGAATTATTTGTACTCATCTTTTATTTGTTGACATTTTTGTCCCATCAAGTTTTTTTGTCAAACAAGGTTTCGATAAGATAGTTATTATATAAATAGTCATTCAAAGAAGAGTATGCAAATGTAGTAGTATTTATGAATAACTTTTATACCCCTATGTATCCCTTGTAGCCCTAGATTCTATTACCATTGTATCCTTCTTCTCTATATATATGGAACTTTAGTTCTTACCATTAACTTCTCCATTTTCTTCTCTTTTTCTATGTAGTTTATAACAAGTAATATTTTTTAACTAATTTATCATAAACTATTCTAAATTAATCTAACTAATCATATTTGTGGAGTGCTTTTAGAATAAATGTTAGGAATTAAATATTTCACTTAAACCATTTAACATTCATTCAATCCAACATCATTAAGCCCTTTTTCACATGAATTAACTAATTTTAGATTGTAATCTCTATTGAGCAACATTAATCATATTCGCATGTTCAAATTTTTTACATTGCTATACATGTAAATTCATAAACATGTAATAATTGCATAAGATATAATTATATCTCGACCTTTTATAAAATATGTCACTTATTGCACAAACTAGATAAATAAAGATCATCTCGATCTCAATATTGTCATGAAATCAAGCAATTGATGATCAAGCTATTGAATGTCAATTAAACACACAATAAGCAATTAACTCACAATCAAAGTTGCATGAAATCAATTGAATTAGACAAAATCAACATAAGTTACATCATTCATTCTAACAATCAATTATTTATCCGATCAAAATTGTGGAATTAAAAATAAAAATGATTGAAAACATCATCAGACTCATTACAATATAGGAAGAATACATATAGTTGTTCTCTTCGACATCTAATTCACAACAATTGATCTTCATACTCTTCTTGGATGAGTCTAAATTTCATGATCAATTGTGTTCTTCAACATTTAAATACCAAATTGAAATATAAATTTTAAGGATTTAATGTATGGGATGTGTAATTTTACCTCAAGATTGTATATTTAGCCTTTCCTCCTCCCCCCTCCCTAAATGAAAGATTCCTATTTATAGACCACAATTTAGGTATAAAATGGAGTTCTAATATTACAAAGAAACCATGATTTTGTACCAACTCGGAAATCCCCAATTGTTGGCTCGTGGCCCGCCACATTTCCCAAAATAAGGGAAGATCTGCTTTGTACTGCTCAAGAAAACATCTGACCTATACTGGCCGTGACATGGAGCCACTCAAATTTAATAATTGAATCCATCTTGAAATCGTCCTTGACCCAGTAATCTTTATATATATTTTTTTAATTTTACTTATGCATGTTGGGTCTTATTTCCTCTTTTTCTCCGGATAGAGTCCTCAAATACTGAAATTGTGGTCCTTCAACTTCTTAACATGACTCCTTAGTCCCTAACTTCCAGAATACGTCCAACTTTAGTCCATTTTCTTATTAATTATCATATTTTCATTCGTTTTGGCCCAATTCTGGATGTTCTCCTGAATCAGTCAACGGACAATCGTAATTAATTATAGAGCTCATAATAATCACCATCAATTGCTACTTTAATGATCAAGATAAGTGTAAATATTACACTTCCACTTCACACCCGAGGACATTTAGTGAAAACAAAAATACAAATGAGAACAGGACCTTAATTAAGACCTCGTATATCGAAACCTAGTATGTTCTCTCTTTAGACCACTTACAGCTACCAAATAATCTATACATGCGCAAAATTTCCTTGTATATCTGGATTGACTTGTGATAGTGCACTTTTCAAGAGCGTTTTCCTTGTTTAGTATGCTTGCTTAAATCTTCCGAAAGGTGTAAATAATACGTGAATAGTAAATTTTACATCCTACCAAATGTGTGAGAAAAATATATGATTTACATTGAGAAAATTACCTACATCCGTACATTTCAAGTTTCAATTTTGAAAAATCAAGTACTAATAAGTTTTTATCCAAATTAGGTATGCAGATCAATGACGATCTATAAAGGTTAGGGACAATTGATGGCGCTAATGAGACTCTGCTGTCAATTGCCAGTGATGGTGGTGTAGGATATGCTGATACAAAAATAAAAATACAAGAAAAGTTGTGGAGTGGGCGGGCGAAATGATGGCAACGGTGGTATTTGACAATAATGTACCTTCTTAACCTCCTCCCCCCCCCCCCCCCCCCCCCAAAAAG